TGTTAATTCTCGTTTTGATGGTCGTGTTATAAATCGATTGTTCGCGAGAGGAGCAGACTCGTGGTTAAAACGAAGAAGAAATATAAAGAGGGTTTGTAGTAACAGTATAGTTAAACAAATGATCGTCGGATCGCAGCCTAAGGCAAAATGCAAAGCGGTATGTCCACTACAAGATATGTGAAGCGTTGAATTTTGAAGGGCATCGTATAGAAGCAAAGGATACAGGCACATGCACATTCTGTTTATTAATTGGGACAATGTAAAACAAAATTGTTAGACTCAGAGTATTCATATACGCAATTACGCCGTCGTATTCTTCTCTGCAATTTTCTCTCGTTAATTACCAAGCGCGCCGTTTTACAATCAATTCACACATACGCACGCACGAAATAAATCCATATGCTGTTCCGCATACCTTTATGCTTGTTTAGTATCATGCATGTATATATATGTGTACACACACATCCACCTACGCGTGTATATATGTATATGTTCTATATACAGTGATGCTCGGTTCAATTTTAAAATGTCACAACTCAGCATTACAATTCTCGCGAGTAGAGTAGCTATCTCTGACAAAGACAGAGAATCGATATAGTGAGCAGAAGCGGGATAAACAGTCTGTGGAGCATCGAGGGTCGAGACGGGGGGCTTCAAAGTGATGCCACACGCGTCAGATATAAACATACCACGAAGAAAATTTCAGCTGCAGTGATTTTAACCTTACCTTCTCAAATGTGGTACCAATGGATTGTTGACATTTTTTTGATAAAAATGAGCCCAAACACGACGTAAATTGAACTGAAAAATTTTACCGACTTTGTAATTAACGAAATTAAAGGTTCATTTATCCCAAATCGATAAAACTAGACCGATTTACATTATGTTTGGACTCATTTTAATCAGGAGAATCTCAATAAATCACTGATACTACATTTGAAAAGGTAGGATTCAAATTACTAAAACTGAAATTTTCATCACTGCACGATTGCTGTACCGGCACCTTATGTGTGCCTGTTTCCCTTATGCTCATTGTATTCATTTTCTGTCCCTGTCTACTGGGATCACATTACACTGAGCTCGAGACAGCGAGTAGTGGGGAAGAGTGAGGATGGTTCGTTAAAATTTAACCGAGCAGACTGCTTTAAAATTTAACTGGGCATCACTGTGTATATATATACACACACGTATACACAAATTATACACGCACATTATGTACCGATCAATTGTTTTTCGTTTATTTTTCATTAATCCATGTATGACCATGTGTTATGGATGACTATCCATGTACTGCGTGCACGTTCACAAATATAATGTATGCTTTACTCGCATAAACGTTATAACTAAAGAGCTTCAATTATACGAAAAGCTCCGCACTTTCACTTATCCTGTTATCTTATTAAAACTATTCGCATTAATCTACGTTTTCTTTAGATTAGGGTATAAACAGGGAAAAGGGAGATATCTCTCGTTCGAGACAAATGAAACATAGTTAACGCCGCGTTTCACGACGCCGATATTATTCTACACTGTACAATTCAATGTTCCTCGTACTCGACCGAATGAAAGCGAGCGAGCGAGCGGCATTCTGTGTACTGCAAGCACAACTAGGCTCGCAAATAAGGGTATTCGTTCACTTGCAGTCACAGATGCTGATACGTATCGTACATCACTGAACATATTTGCCACCACTACTACTAATACTGTGTCTCACAATCAGACTTGATTCCTTGAACCAATCTACCAATCTGTATTTAGTACTTCAACGTATTAAAAACCGAATGATGATTTGCAGTGGATACCGATAATATTTTTAAACCAATTAAGAATTTGATGGCTACGATGAACGCTTGAAATTGCCATCGAATGAGTTCTTAATTCGACACGTTGATTTTTTGAAAAGCGAATTTTAAGATTATCCGACAGGTCGAAAACGATCGTAGGAAACAACGGTCAATACGTTGGCAATTATAAATAAATCTGGATATTCGTATTTTACATTAACCTTGATCTGGCCCTAGGGTCTCTTTCGACACAAATCGAGATTAATTTTTGCTGTAATTGTTTTTAAGGGGCGGATGAAGGTTAACAATTAACGTAAAATAGCAAATTTACGTATGAGATGACCCGATGCTTAATAGAAATTTAATTGAAAATATGCTCTCCGAGAAAAATAAAATGATATACTTCGTTAACGAAAAATGTACAGATTTGAAATTACTTAAGTACGTCATATTGTCTTACAGAACTTTTGCTATACTTCTATTATAGAAAATTAATTTGTTTTCGATAATAAATCAATAATTTGTAGAGTTATGAAGTTCAAATGGGATCTAGTGTTTGAAAGATTTACTTTGTCTCACTGAAACAGTATAAGTTCTGTCAGCATTGTAAAATGCTTATTAATGTTTACGAGTGTCAGTCAATGAGTATATTACCTGCCCCTTTTCCCCTGAAAGATATAAATATAATAAGTATATAAATAGTTATAATTATATCGCATGGCAATAATACATATTACAGGATATTAAACTGATTAATCCTTTCATCACTGCCAGTGTCTATGGATGTTAGAAAAATGTTTTCGCAGGTCTTAGTTAGGTTCAATTAGTACCATCTATATTGTGTTGAAGTTAAGTACCTTTATGTTAATTTTCAATGTGCATATGAAAACTTGAATTGAAAACATGAAAATTAAAAGTACTCCACAAGGCTTCTGCAGAAAAACTCTGTCATCTGTTATATTGATCTTGCCTGAAATTATTGAATGGTACATTATATTTCAAGCAGAAGTGACAAAGTTTACGTTGACAATAAGAGAAAGTCTGCTATTTTTCTGGAGGCGTGAAGGCTGGTAATTTATTGACTCACGCTCGTACGTTTCGTTGCGGTGTAACAAGATTTTGATTAATAGGATAATTAGAGAGTGCAGTGACATTTTCTCAAATCAACGTTTACTTAAATATTTTGATATCGGCCGATATCAATGCAAGTCAGACAATTTTTTCATTAAAATTTTTAACGAACTTAAGATTCATCGAAATATAATAATTAATCATAGATGTCTGGGTTAGGTCCTAGACAATATTTAATTACTTAACATAAGAAGCAAGGCTGTTGTACATTTTATGGACATTCATGAATTTTTTAATTAAAATTAAAATACAAATGTACGGAAAATATGACTTTATGAAAGTCTGTAAACATTTACTACGCATATAACGAAGTAAACATCGCTATTATATTAATCATAATAATCATAGTCATCATAACGATGATTCTGTTTTTTTATTTATTTCCTTAATGTCTATAAAATATTCGAAACCCTTGCCCCTTTTTATTGACTTTATTTGTTAGTTTTTAAATTTTCCCTTTAAATCTAACAAAAATTGATACATCTTTTAACATAAAACATAAGATTCTTAACAAAAGAATTTTAACTGCAATTTAAGAACATTATTAGTGGAGAAGTTATTAAAAGCAACACTCGTTACAGCGATTAACGAAACGTGATAATGGAAATGATAGAAAAAAAAGGTCATAATAAATTCTAGAACCAAACAATTTAAATGATGTTACATAGAATGTAACATTAAAGCACACACATATATATGTATTAATATATGCATACAAATGTTAACACTCGGATGGATACACACCTTCGCCTGGTACAAAAATCATCTGATGTTATCTATACGATGTCGATTAAATACAGAAGATATTTCACGAAAAGTACAACCGAAAAGAAAATGTTTCTACATTAAAAAATGAAGAGAAAATATGTTTTAGTAAATTTTTAAAGCGAATGAGAAACACTTCTGTTTAACTAATAAAGCAGACTTATCTAAAACTTCTTAAACTGTTCTTGAACTTCTTAAATATAATATAAAATCTTCCTGGAACAGAATATTATTTACGATTTTATTTAATTATAATTCAAATATGATTTCTGGTTATAATTAATTATTTGTATATTTCACAACGAAATCTGTGAACATTCAAATACCATTCAGATCAACTAATTCCAGGATAGATCTCTAAGTTTTAGCTATTTTTGTAATATGAAAACTTATAATTAAACACTATACAAGTAGATTACAGAGTGAATAATACAACCTATGAATCATTTCAATTACTTCTGTTCATATTGGACCAACTGAATATTTTAAACAATTTTTTTTATAATCAAGAGAGCTAATAACTCATACGAAATATCCATAGAACATTTTGCTTCAATCATTTTCTTTCATGATTTTCAAAATCACTTTTAGTTTCCTTTAATAGAATCCTATCATTCCGGTTCATTATCTTCTTACAAACACATAGACTAACTTGGCAAGCATTAAAAAATAGATATGCTTTCTTTTTATTAAAACTAAAGACGAGGTAGAAAACAGAATTTTTTATCGTTTTTACTAATGAATATGTACTTATTTACAATCCGCCGACGCTTCTTCATTAATGCTGTCAAAATGAATTAAATCTGCATAAAAATTATCTTTTAACATACTACCTAAAAAAATTCATGGAAGTAAGGTCATTCAGAAGTACTTCCAAAGTCAAGGACGGCAAACTGAACACATTTTACAATTATAATATTTATAATTGTATGTTTATACAAAATGTTTTTTGAACTATATTTAAAAATTTCTTAAACAAGTTGTAAGTGAATTTATCTTTCTATTAAAAAAATAGATTTTCATTCAAGATATTAAAAATGGTTTACAAAACATCGAGAAAAAGAACTTATAAAAAATATACTATATGTGTTTTGTAATGAAATTTACTATGTTGTATTAAATTAAATTTGATTTATAAATGGATTGATTTTTATGTATACCGAAGTAGTTACTTTAATAATTCGTAAAAAAAATTTAAAAGTTATATTTCAGTTGACAATCATTTTTCAAAAATGTAGAATATTTTTTATAAATATATTGGTTTATAATATGTACCTATCATGTATGTACATGTCATGATATCGGAAATAAATAAGATGACCAATTTTTGTTGTGCATATTGTATGTTTACATATTGCTCAGCTGTATTAAGAATAAATGCTATTAACACAATAGTTCGTTACACAGTTGGCTCCTTATTATTTCATTCATCAACTTATATCGTATTGTGTACAAAGTATATTACACTAGAATAATATAATAAAGGCGAACCTCGGTTACGATATTTTACTAAGAAATGGTAGACACATTCACTTAGCAATAAAAATAAATAAAATAAAGATTGCAGTAAAAGGAAAAATATATAATATCAGTCTTAAAATAATCAGTCCGCAATGCAATTAATTGTGTCAATAGATATATGAAACTCATTCAGTTGCATGGACCACATCATTTTATAAAAATCAAATGAGAGTTTACTACAATTCTAAACTAATTTTAATTTCAGTACGATTTAACTGCATTGAAACAATTTGTACATGTTTTAAGTAATTGGCTTGAACCAAACCATACTATGGATAAAATATTTATATAATATTATATTACTGATTTCTGTTGCTGGTAGAATCATCAACTTTTCGGTTGTACAATTGCAAAGTATGATGCGTTCATCTCTATTACTTTCAATTTCTTTTAACTGCAAACAATATCAAACGGAAGGACTGGTAATTTGATAAGATGTAATTTTTATGCATATTTTTCACGAGTTTCTAAGGTTGCCTTTAAAATGTTAATACACATCTTGCAATATAGCCATTCATGTATCATGTGGTTGATGTTGAGACAAAATCAACGAGACGAGTATAATAGACTTTTTTTATTAAAATAAAATGTACGGTGAAAAAAAAAGATATCAAGAAAAAAGTTTCATTCGTCACCTTTGATGTACTTACTTACGTAGAGACCAATATTCCGTATCAATATTAGAATCGCTGACTCAGTCTCAACGCTTGCTAAACATATACGACAAATAAAATATATAAATCAATTATACATATACAGGAAAAAAATTTGATGCTAATGAAAAAAATAACGAGTATAAAAAAAAGTCGTCTATGGGCATTGCTGTTAGAACACATCACTTAATCGATACATATCGTTTTGCTGAAATTTCACAAAAATATAATTAAAATTATTTGACACGTCTATTCTTTCTTAATGAAAATTTATGTCTATGCGATATAACCTTTCAAATTCGGCAAATGATAACGTGATAAATGAAAAAATTAAAAAACGAAATAGATACAGTGAAAACGTTAAATATAAAAGTTGCTTAATTTTTCTTTTAGCAACACATGTTTTGTTTGCATTTCAATCTCAAATTTTATCATACAAGTTGTATTAAATTAAACTGTTAAGCTCGTATAATATCTTTTTAATTCATTTCTCAAGCTATATTGGTACATAAAACACCGCGACAGAAATGGAGGCGAAATAAATAATAATGAATGAAAATAAAAATTTTTTTACTCTCGACTAATCTTTGAAAGTACATTTGTGAGTTGCCTCTTATCGATTACTTCTCGTTATTTATTGTTGTATTCATTTGATATTATTTATTTATTCTATTAGTCGCATATTACTTCTTATAAAAAATTAAGCAACGTTTGTATTCAATAGTTTCATTGTGCCCCTTTCGTTTCCCAGTTACTTAATTTACCAACTTTTTATTCCTAAAATTGGAATAATAATTTCGCGTCCCAAACGCAAATCTTCGATGACGAAAAGAACCTTTCTGAAAGGATGCATACGTTTCAAATAATTTCGACTATTTCATACTGCGAAGTTTCATTAAAACATTATGCACGATAATATTTTGACGATAAAAATCTGAGAACTCCTATACAGTGGTCTAAATTCAGGGTTTATGATCACCGCGTCGTTGGCTTAAAAAGACAATTGTGTTCTTATGTACGATTGGTAATCTCACTGTTTGTATCTTCACCAATGCAAGCTCTTTGTAACTACTGTTTATTACATATACATCCGGTTCCATGGGAAATCAGTTCATCTACATACTACAATGCGTATGCGGAACATCGTGTAAAATGAAATGTCGAATGGGAACAAAACAGATTGTGAGAATGGACAAACTACTACTGTATGCAAGGTTACATTTTAAAGTGAGTGGTTTTCAAGTACGAAGCGGTGAGTTGAAACTTACAGGATATACGGCGAATATCGGATTCGAAAGAAATTGATAAGGGTATGAAGAATGCAAAGACGAATAGACAGTAACGTAAAGGGTCACGAAGAATGAAATTGTGATACAATGAAGAGTACACGTTTGCTGGAGAAATAAACAGAATCGGTCGAATACACTGAGAAAAAATGTACATAATCGAAGGGATCAGATGGTTTATAATTACATGGTTTACAATTAAGTAACGTAACCGTGCCATGGAAAGTAATTTACGACGCTAAAACACGTATCACAGAATTCTTTAGAAGCATCGGTCAAAGTTTCTGTGCTACACAGAAAAATGAATGCCATTGAAAAAAATTCGCTCGGAACATCCGTTTCGCTGTTTCATGGATTAACCGAAGAATGCTTGGAAGTAAAAGTTACTACGTGTTTTTGTTATACCGTGTTGTGATTTGTACCACTAAATATATTCCGTTACTTAAATCAACATTTTTTCCTCAGTGTACGCAGATATGTAATTACACAGGCGGAGGTATCGAATATGTTAATAGGACGGATGGTAGTGCGATCATCAGCTAATCATTACGTTGGATAAATAAGTATACAACACCGATATAGGATACATATTGGCGATTCAATATCGAAAAAGGAAAAAAGAACATCGAACGATTTTACTCGTAAATATTAAATATTTATGGAAGACACTTGTTTTCCCCAAAACATCACCCTTGTCACACATCAACACAGTACCCACAAATTGAAATGAGACAGTTATTGTTTTCCATTTGCAATATCTGCGGTTTGCACACGTGTGTCTATGTACCTGTCATACCGTAAGTACAATCGTCTTAATTATGTAAAATCAATACACATTAGTTGCGACTTATTCGTTCTGCGTTATGTTCTCGTTTACGTGACGAAGTTAACTTTCTCTTACGGTTAAAATTGTCCATTAGTGCCAGGTATCGCGTGCGAGTGATATCACAACCGTATCTGTTATCTCGATAACGGACGGTCATTCTGACTCTTTATCGTCGTTCAACCCTGAAGTATCGTAGCAGCCGTTGATTGATAACAAACGGCAGTCAACCTGTCGAATCCATCAGCTGATACTTAAAGAGTTCGCGCTTCGCGGTCTAAAATAACAGCTCGAATGCAATTTACTAACATTCATTCACGCAAAATTACACCTTATCGGATAAACGCTAGCGATATGACTGAATCTTGAATCTCGTTATATATATAGAATGCTGAAAACTTTCGGTGAGTCGTCAACATGAACACACATCTCTACGAGGTATATGCAATGTTTGCACGTTTGTCTCACGAATCGTTTCTTTTCTTTTCTTTTCTTTTTTTCTTTTTTTCTCTCTTTTCCGTTACGATCTTAGTATGCGTGTTGCCCGACTATTGTCGAACGACGATTGTTCACGCACGGTGAATTTATAAACGACAGAACATATTTAAGAGGCAATCAAGGAGCTCGCCGAGGTTACGAAGAAGTACGACGCCTTGTCGGAAAAGCGACAATCGATTACACTGGTCGTTAGTGAATGGCTATCAATGATTCAGCAGCGAGGCCAATTAACGATGACGTTAGGAGCGAGAGGTCCGCGTTCTTACCATAACACCAGGTTTCCCGGAATCCCCGGGTTTTCCAGATTCTCCTCTCAGTCCCATGGGGCCCTATAAACAAACATGAATGCTTCAAGTCAAGTGGATCGACTTTGATGTCGAAAAGTCGGGGCATACAATGGAATGAGCGAATTAATTTGGCCAACTGGATTATCCCATAAACAGTATAATTTTTCGCGATTTCTACCTGACAATATCGATCGTGAATTCTGAAATATATATTGTAAATTAAACTGTTTAAACTTGTATTAATCGTCACTTTATGTCATTGAAACGAATCATCTTTTTTAAACGTTTATTTATTGTAGGAACTAATTATCTTAGAATTATAATTGCAACGGTATGTTGTATGTATGTTCACTTGACGGGTTTCTCCAGTTTAAGGGGAAAAGTGATTAATTTTTTCAATCTACGTATTGTTGAGAATGTATCCTTGAAGAGATTTTACATAATTCACAAAATGGTAGATGTTGTAGGTATTTAAAGTATTCGATACGATATCATTAATTTGAAATTTTTGATTGCTCAGTGGTCGTCAAACGGTAGCTTTAGTACATAAATTGTCAAATTTGTAACTTGATCGGTCTAAACGTAGTTCAAGTCGAATCTCTTTTGAGTTAAGTCCAATTCTACCTCAATTCGGATAGTAGCCCTAATACATAGTTGAGTTTTAGCTGAATTTAGAATTCAGATTAGAGCCAAGTCTTAATTATAAGAAAACTAAATAATAGCATATTAAAGAATACGATACTCAATTCAATAAAATTCTGTAAGCTTAAATAAATAACCGAGACCCAGCACCTATAACATTTATCATTTGGTTCAATTAAATTAACCTTTTGCGCTGGAAATTAATTTAAAGATTTGGGAAAGTCTTATGCGAAGAATTTTGTTTTTACCTATTTTATGTAAGTACGTACACTAATCTTGTTTATTAATAATTTTGTGTAGAGTGGCACATTTTAAAACAATCTGGTACGTGTAACATAAAAAGACTGTCAATGTGTATAAGACGTCATTGGCAATTTTCGAACAAAAACATCTCGACGTGCGTGCACGTCTTTCCAGCGCAAGAGATTAAATTCAGGTTTCCTGAATCCACCAAACTGCTGCACACTGTTCATTCGAAAATAGAGCATGGTTTTTAATATATTGGTCCATTGAGTCGGATTCCAGATTAAATGATTTGGTACTGAAGTGTATTCCATGTCAATTAAGTATCCACTTGGAGATCACATTTTGGTCTTTCGAGATCCGGATCCTCTAATTTGGTACTGCGATCCATTCTTCAGTAATCAAGTATCCAGTCGGAGACCACAAGACTTTGGTCTCTCGAGATCCGAATCCAATAAATTGATACAGCGATCCCTTCTTCATTAAACAAGAACCACTAATTTTGGCCAAACGTCATTAGGATAGCGAGAGAGATTAGCAAAGCGGTCCCCATTTCAAAATAACAAGAAAATATGTATTCTTTCAAAAATTTTGTTGACTGTTCTTGTTATAAGATAATAATTCTGTTAAACTCCGCATTTAAACAAATTCAGATTACCATCAGTTGGAAGAAAAGGACTACTGTTGTATGTTCATTGTCAACTACATAATTTATATTAAATCAAGGACTTCTTTCTAGACACCACCATAACATATATGCTGGATATTACATTATCAGTAGGTGTATGTAGTATATACCAAATTTCCTTTTTCATACTTAAACATTATTACCTGGCCAGTTTAGATTTTTATATTTTATTAAACTGAATGTAATGACTCTGTAAATCGTTATCAAATGACACGTGGATGTCAAAGTTTGATCTGATACTAAAAATAAGTCGTAGCGCAATTATTTAGCGTATTTCCAAGTGAAGTTATCTTCTAAATGATATTCGTACTTTTACGTATTACAGTAATAATAGTTAGTAAAAACTTTAAATATTATCCAAAATTATATCCAACTGATTAATAAAATAAATAATGTACATAACCCTGGCACATCGTTACACAAAATTGACATTTACATGTATTTCCATTATTTTTTTCAGATTCTCTTACTGAATTATGTTTGAATTTCACATAATCCATTTCCATGCGCGCATGTGCGTATCAGAAGCAATCATATAGTTTATGGGATGATCTAGTAAAACTTCACTTAGAACATTTTGTAATACTCATGATATTAATATTAACATATTATAAAGACATGTAGCGAATATTTTTGTGTGTAGATTTCTTTCTCTCTTATTATGTATTTTTCTTGTGAAAATTTAATTCAAAATAACGATACGAAATCTATTTAGTATAAATCGGATAACGTTGTTTCACAGCAACTATATAAATTTTCAAAGCAGGTATATAAATCATTTCATGTTACAGATTATTCTTCACTGAATACGTTCGACCGACCAACTGAATACATTTAATTTTTACTATAAGAATTTAATCTGTGAGGAAAAATACGTACGGGCAGTCCCATTGGACCAGGATCTCCTTTGGCACCCTTTTCACCCTGCAACGTAAAAAATTATATTCATGAAAATGTACCACTGCATATAGCGAAACACTGTTTTGTTACCTTTTTTGAGAGTAAGTTCTAAAAGCATGTTTAATGGAACTTAAAATCACAGATAAAAAGTCTATGTAAAAATACATAAATGAATAGATTTCTTGCTTGTTTTGTTTAAACGTGTTAAAATGTTATCTACGTTCTCATACGAATCTTTTCTATCGCCTTCCTTAATCCTAAATTTATTTTATACGTTTAAATTCGTGTTAATTACGTAGAATATTCGAAAACAATGTGAATATTTTAACTTTATCAAACTCCAAGATATGAATTGTTTAAATTTCACCGATAAATAGTTTGTGAGAATACTTGATCGAAGAAAAAATTAAAAGAACATTTTCTTGTCGTGACTTATTGAGATATACATTATCAATATTCACCACTATTTAAATTATAACCACTGAAGGAAGGTATAACCGTTCGTAGAAATGAGGAGGCACACTACGGAGAAGATAATTCTCTCATTACAGAATTTGATAATAAACGATGATTACTGACAGGATCGCCTTTGGCACCATCATGTCCTCGGTCTCCTTTGATACCCGGTGGACCCTGAAGACCAGGAGTACCAGCTGGACCAGGTGGTCCCGGCGGTCCCATTATCTAAATACAATTAAGTAAGTATTATCAAATATTTAAAGATGTATCTCAAGTATTGGAATGCCTTATGAAATAAGGTGTGATTAAAATAAATATTTTAAACGTTTTTCTACTCACCACTTCGCCGGCATTTACTTCGAATGTACCGTCTCCCTGCAACAAAATATAAGTTTAGTATGAATTTTTTTGCGATTTCTATTTGAAGACTAGGTGATTCCTGATAGTAAATACAGTAGAAAAGAATATAGTTGGACTATACGCACCTGTCTTCGTCTAAGCTTCTTGTATTTCTGTTGTTAGAAACCCGACAGCACGTCATGAAAACAAAAATTTGATCGTTAAGTCGTTGAACGGATTTGTTAAAAGGCATGTTTCGTTTCCATTCTGATTTGATAAGAAACGTAATATAAAAAAACATAACGCCCACCCGTTCTTCGATTTACACAGCGAATATGTTTCATGACGTTTTATTTTAGAGAGTAAAATAGATTGTGTAAATGTTGGTAAGAAAATATATATGAATGTACAATATTAAGCGAAAAGTGTAACGGTGATAAAAAAAAATACAAGTATATTTAATATCCATTGTAATATACGGATATAATATATAATATACAATACAATATAACACAGATGTAATGTAAACGCTAGAATATATAACAAAGAGTACAAATTCCTTTGATTATGCTGTTTATTTGTTGTTTTATCAAAATAAAAAATTAAAAAACAAAGAAGTATAATCAACATATTAAGAAAAACGTATTTTAATTTCGTATAAAGAAGTGCTGCATAAATTGAGGGCGAGGTGTATACAATTATTTTATATTGCGACCGGGTACTAAACATTTTCGGAAACCATTAACGAATGCTAACAGTCGAATAATCCTTACATTCAGTAATAACTGCTATTGATAGTAATCAATTATCTTTGACTTACTATTGAATGGAAACAGAAGATAAAATGATTCGATATGATGAAGTTTAATATTATGCTGGCTGAGCGTAAAGTAATAATGATAGAGATCAACTCACCGATTCACCTTTCTCTCCTTTTTCACCTTTTACTCCAGGATAACCCTGTTTGCCAAGAAGGAGTGAAATTTTATATTGGATTGGATGGTAGCATATTAGTAATCAAACGAATAATTCTTAATTTAATTTACTTACTGGAGGACCAGGTAAGCCTGGTGGACCCATAAGACCTGGTGGCCCAATGTCTCCATTTTCGCCTTTCTCACCTTTTGGACCAGCGAGACCCTGAACAAATGTTGTTAACCGATTTATATAATATGAACAAAATTCAAAATTAAATTGGTAAAGAATAACGTATATACTTATTTTCTTGGTACAGATCAAATATACTTATTTTGTTGGTAAAGACCAACGTTTTAACCATTTGCACTCTATAGATTCCAATACAACACCACTTATAGTATTAAATATTTGGCTGAACAAAATTGAAAAAATTACCCTATGATTAGTGTATTTATTAGATATACAAAAAAATGTTATGTTATAATATTTATAATATAACATAACATTATATATTAAAACATGTAAATATCATATTATAACATTTTTAGTTTTCACTGGGGGTACTATAAAAATGACTTGGAGTTGCTGGTAGGTTACAAAATCGGCTGAAATTCTAAGGGTTAATGATACAGCGACTGAAGAAGAAAGAAAAAACTCTGACGAATATACAATTATGCAAAGTGAAAATACTGTATTGCTGCAACCTTGATACGTATCTTGAGAAAATCAGACAAGTTGCACGCATACAAATAATTAACATGAAGAATTGTATTTAAATTGAAATACGAAATTTAAAGAAAAAGATTCTAAAATTAATATTTAAATTAAGAAAAATGTTATTGTAAATATCCTAAATGAAAATAGACAAAAATTAATAGAATTCAACAAACAGTTTCCGAGATAAAAATTCCTGTAGGTATACATCCTGCTTCCACGTAAATAGATGGACAATTTAAAAATCAAATGTAATTTTAAAGGAAAAGAAAGTTCCTGTTAGTGAAAAATATTACTTTTAAAATGTGTTTAAATGTTCGTACCAAATAAAAGTTTCATTAAATTGTATTAATTTACTTATTTTCAGGTTTGAAGAATATTTACAAAGCAATACATTTAATAGGAATCGCTATGAGAGAGCAGATTTTTTGGTAAAATGTAAAATTCTTTGAGTTAGATCACTGTGGGGTGAGCCGTTGTTGGTGTCAAACAAAGGGATTTGATAGAATCGGGTCGAATGATCAGAGTTACAACCAACCAGAGTTTTAAACACGGACGATCACACCGGCTCGATGCAGAATTTTATTCAACGACGTACAATATGAATGAAAAAAAAAGAATTTTACAAGTAAATATTATTTCGTGCACTGCTGACATATCTCGGAATTTTATATCTCGTTAATCAATATTCTTGTACTTCTTAAAATCCCTGTTAATGTACAGCGTTTTACTTTTGAAAGAGAATATTGGATTATTTCATGAAGAATTGAGCTAACGGAGAAAGTGTTTGAACCTCGTTTTGAATAAAAGTGCAGCTTAAGCAGCATAAATAATTTTTAGATAAAATAGATTTGTCAGTATTATCAATATGTGTAAAGAATTTTTTTTGGTATTTACTTTTTCTGTATGAAAAACTTTTTACAGGTTGTTTTGCTTGTTTTTCATGCTGCTATACCATTCTTTTTTATTAATTTTTCCGCGTTTCATGTTCCATTCGTTTTGCATATATATGTCAGGAAGTCCGACAGAGTAGGGCTCTCTGCAAACTTTAATATTTATGTTTGTTGAATAAAATGTTTTTTGCATGAAATATTATTTTAAATTGTTTCAGACCTCTACTTTTTGTGTAAAGGTAATTTTAAGAGAATAAGTATTTCGGATATTTAAATGACTAAAAAAATGTATACGTTATAAACACAAACTTATAAGGTTTACTTTATGTATTTCTTTCATTATGAATAATAGGAAATTATTTCTCTGTGTGGATGCCCTTTGCAAAAGTATTTTCTTTCCTATTTTAGAAATAACGATTTGGTAAAGCATATTTGAAAATGATAAAAACAACATTAAATTTAAATAACTGAAATTTAATAAAAATTTACTGTCATTATAGAACTTCGTAATAAAATATGAATTCTTAAAATAAATATTTAAATTACAAAGGTAATTTGAATTAAACAAATTATGGTTCGATAATTACATTTTAATTTGATCTGTTATGGGGTTACGTCTACCTACCTAGGAGGGTAAAAGAATATGTTTCTAAAAATTTTTGGAACATAAAATATTATCAATAATTATTATTATATTGTAAAAAAGTATTATAACATTGTAGAATTGGTACATTACTGGAAAAGTCCATATGGTAATTTTCGCTGCGTCTTACCGAGTGATCGGAATGCTGTCTGCATTATCGACCGAGACTTACATCTCTTCAGTGCGTTCCTAGAGGGATGAGGGAGTTTCCCTACCGTTTCTCATAGCATATTCGCGGATATTTGAAAAACAGGAATACCGATGATATTTCAGGTTCGCGCAGTTAGGGAAGAAATATGGAAAGCAGTTTATAACGTTTAGCGTACCACATATTTTGGTCGAAACTTTCAAGACCGTATCAAATAATTTAAAAGCAGTTTGTCTACACTGAAGTTCGAATAAGAAATAGCTCGGTAGTAAGACTATTTCCTATTGAACTAAATTATGTATTAAACGAAAGTAAGTTCTTTCAGATTTTATTTTGTGGCATTCATTTATTGCATCACATAAACATGAATATTCCCAATGTAATTCGGTGAACTCGTTCGCTAGCAACGTCCATAATTGTGACGACCCAAATTTTATATTTTGCATAGAAATAGTAAAATTAATGTTGCGCAAATTTTTATTGCCAGTCACAATGCATAATACGACACTATAAACATCAACAACTCCAATTTTTTATGTTACAGACATTCTTTTTAAAAAGAATACGTCACGTTCAACAAAATATCGTCATTATGGAAGCTGTAACCGAAATAAGTTGTTGACTGCAACTTCTATTTTTGAAATGTTTCACTATGTACCCATGCTCAGTGGTTGTAGATTAAATCTACAAATTGTAGCGTGCAGATGAAGTAGTCGTCACAGTCACCAAGTTAATTAGAATGTGTTACGAACATATTCAGGCAAGCTTTAACCCTTTTGATGTCAGTGGGCCGATCTGTCGGCTCTGGGTGTTTATGCGAAAACTACCGTAGCCACGTTTGTTTACGTGTAGATTATCCGCCTGGGGTATTCTTCGTATGTACTGCGTAGATGAGTCTGGCACTAAAAGGGTTAAATTTGTGAACAGATCCTATCATTCTCGAATGAATACTGTTCGCCATTTATTGGCCAGTTGCCAGCACCTTGCTCACTGTTTGAAAAAATGTCTGTGCTACTCACGAATATATTTCGGAAATAGTATTTTATAGTTACATTTAAGTAACTATAAATTACTAACAAGCGTCACTTGACTAAAATGTAATAATGTAAATTGAAATGGTATTGTGCCGTAATCGTTTAGGGTATATCTCACCTGGAAGAGTTGTCATGCTACCACTAAGCTAAACAGTTAGGAAGACAAGCGGACTCTTTCACTCACGATGTTCGACCCTCCTTGGTCTTCGACGCGTGGTTGTTATTAGCTACGCGGCAGTAACAAAGGATGGAAGCGAGATCGAATACGAACGAGTGAGATGTAACGGTAAAGAACGAAGTTAGCGGCAATATAAAAAATTTGGACCAAACGTATTATTGGGAGATCACTTGATAACGAGGAATGTGGGTCTCATTGATCAGCTTTCGTCTTTTCTCATCTGATTTTCGATACTCATTTGCTGTTGGTCAATACGGTTACATATATCCAATCAAAACCATAAACAAAATCCCTAGCAAGAGACTCCCTTGCCCCTGTACCGTCCCGCTAGACATCAAGTGATTTCCAATAGCACCTTTTTACATTTCAACGGGAAAATTGTTTCGATTATATAGTGAACATTGGATAATTGCAACATTGGAAATCTCTTCATTATTGCAACGCCGTCATCCCCGCCACATATCCGCCAGATTTCTTTTAACACACCATAGCGCTCGACGACCGACTGCAGTTGAAGGGTGTAATATGACCCGACTATTGTCGAACTCGACGATTTTAATATTTCTTTTTTTTCTATACGTAGTCCTTTTCTATATCGGAAACTTCAATTGCTTATTATACAAGCAATTGTGGTAGTAATTCTATCTTGTTTCGTGCCATTTTAACCAAGAAAAAACATAACAAACATGATGGTGAAAGTTTCATTCATCAAAAGTCAAATAAAGAAGTTTGATTTTTGAGTTAAAGAGCTCAAGCTCATCGCGAAGCTTTAACACTACAATTACCGTACCAGTCAAAATGACTGCTTTCCATTTGTTTGTTTCGCAATTATTGATATTTTAAAAGTATTCAATATTTGAAATGATGTTGAAAATAAATAGTTTCATTTGAATACTATAATAAATGTCTGAAGAACCTGAAAGTAATCTATTGTTATAATTTGTATAGGAATTACATATTACAATCGTATTCAGTGCTCGGTAGCTTTTAGTGTTCGTTTCTTGGGTGAATTCGATTCTACCTCTTCATAATTGCAACTTTCCGGTCCTGTTAAGTGTTGCAATTATATGTTCACTGTACATGTTCGAAAGATAATTATGGGCTACCCTTTATATTGCCGCCAACTTCGTCCTTCATTCAGAAAATGAAATAATGAAAAGGAAAGCTGGCATAAGTATAATAAATATATACCTATTTCCCATAGTTTAATCAAAAAGTAATAGTAATAACATTTTAGAAAACAAAAGTAAATTTCATTTGGTATCACTAAATTCATCACTAAATTTTAAAAGCATTGTAATTTACAGCATAAATAAAGGAAGGGTGTATCAAATGAGATGTTATTTGTGTAGGTTTATGTATACCGAGTGTATATGTTCGAAATATTTTAAAGGATAACTATGCAATTCAAAATACGATGAAGATCGAAAGTAACGGAATTGAGGTTTCAGTAGTGTTTACAAATTATTAATTGTCTAAAAGCTGTGTGCGGTTGTAAGAAAAATTGATAAATACCATGCGTCGAATATATTCGAATATAAAAAATCGCCCAAAAATATTTTGAGCTTGTCATGTCTTAAGCAGTTTTCATTTTTCATTTATTACCTGTATTGTATCTTTAACAACACTTCTATGAAATTTTATTGAAAATCAAAAACAGTAATAAAAAATCGTAATTCGTGCTTGACGCAATTTCATCATGGTGAGGCGAAGTAGCGATCATGATATACAGCGAGGTCGTAAAATTGGTCAGGCGTCGAAGTTTACATATATGAGACGACGGCGTTGAGGTTGGCATGAAAGTTCAATTTATGACCTGAACATGGCATTTTCGTTATTTTACGGATTAAGAATTTTCGTGAAAGTACGACATTGGAAATACAAATGTTTAATCTGCGCACCGGCAAAGTTAACACTTCAGAGACTCGTAAATTTCGAGAACTTAACAAAGTATTGGCCTGAAATTAGTGTTGTCAGATTTTGTTGATTAAGAATTTCCAGCTCACAAGGAAAGGTGTAGAGCCCAGGAATTCAAAAAATTATGAAATTTTGTGTGTAAGTAGAGTAAGTACAGCCTAATACATTGCAATGTTTTCGTGCCGAATTCCACCTTAAAGAGGTGGTTTTACACCTTGAAAGAAATGCAAATTTTTCTTTCTCATGGATTATCTTGAAAACGGTAAGAATAGAAAAAAAAGTTTAAACAAAAAATACATTGTTCTTTCACGACTATAAAATTGCAAAATAAAAAAGCAATTTTAAGTGTTGGTGGTAAGGGTGGTATTTTACAAAATTGGATCATTTTGAAAAATTTGTTTTGCAATTTTATAGTTATGAAGGAATAATGTATCTTTTGTTAAAAATTTTTTCCCTATCTTTTACCGTTCTGATGATAATCAATGGGAAAGAAAAGTTAGCATTTTTTCAATAGGTGGTTTCATTTCAAAGTGAAATTCAGCACAAAAAGCATTACAATATATTAGACTTGACTTACTCTACTTATACACAAAGTTTCATAACATTCTAAATTTCCGGGTTTGATACTTTCCTTTGTTAGTCTAATAAAAATTAATTCTACTCCATTACACGTAGGTCCATGTGGAAAATTATTTTGCTATTATCAATATTATATCTTTAAAGTAGGTAGGAGATGACTTACCGTCTAGCGGAATGGCACTAGAGCAAGGGGTGTCTTTCTAGTTTAGAGTCTTATAGTATTGATTGTTTATATATAATTATATTGACGAACAGTAAATTAGTGATCGAACATATCAGAAATTAAGAAATAAAGTCAACAGAAAATTAGGCGAGTAAAAATGAAAACTGAATTTAACAAAACAGTTGAATCCCTCAGCCTAGCTACCAAGTGATCTCCTAGCAGTAAGTGCATACTTATCAATGAACAAAAAATTTCTTTTTGATTTCGTAAATTATAAATGGTAATGTAAATGTAATAGTCGCGAAGAAAATTGTATGGTAAGGGATTAATACATACTAGTTTTTCCAAGTACAGAATCACAATCCGAAGGAACGGGAATCTCGCGTTGAAGTAATCTGCAGGCCAACTCACCCCGTTTCCCTTACTAACACCTGCACCTCGCTTCCCCTGTCGCTCCAAGCGACACATTCACAGTGCCATTACCGCAGTCTTTTATGAAGCTGATTCTTTACATAGTTCGTAAGTCTCTTAAGCTGCTCGTATTCACCGCAACCCTATGTGGATATGTTTAATCTAGTGAAGCATCAAGTACACTTGTGTCTTGTCTATGGACAAGTTTTGCTGTTAACCAGTTAACGGTTTGTGACGAGTATACACGCCATCTTAAGTAATTCTTCTTCCTTTTTGCTTTAGTTTTTTGTTAGAATATATTATAGGTACATTTGCACTGCGTTTCATTGCTTCATTGCTTGTTACCACAGTTAACTGGTTGAAACAATTCATTCTAGATCAACGAAGAGTTTCTCGCAAACGAAAGAGTTTCCTATATGAATCTACGAGAACTGCAATACGTATCAATTTAAACTTACGATTAGTGGAAAAGAATAATCATTTCAAAAGCAATATTCTTTAATCCTAGATAACTGACCGTTCATAAAAGTAATGAAGCAAATATTGGAATTACGTAATATCAGTTGATCCGCTCATGCCACGAGCTTGCCTCTGACTTTTTCTGATCCGTTGAAATAGCGCATTGTGCAGTGTTATCTCGATAAAAAAATTGATTCTGTTTTAGAGATAAGGGAGAGTGGAGTTAGCAGTTCCAATTTAGAGCAAGCATAAAAAGTAGATTCCAATGAACACGGTTGTTGCAGACGTTACTAATCTTTTTAGTATCGAACAACGATATATCGTTGTTAGCAACACTTGCTAATAGTGTCAACGACGATATATCGTTGGGTATGCGATGGCGCCTTACTCTGTCTCAAAATAAATCTATAAAACGTTACAAATGCCTGAATTCCTCTTTAGAAGTTTTATGTGAAATATTCTACGAATTGAAAATATTTTTTATGGATTTAATTTTTTGTTATATTTCGTGATGATTGATAGTGAAACTGTGTATATGCTAGGGCAATAATGTAGAAATTCGATGGGGAATTTGCTTGAATCATGTCACAAGCTAATTTTGTTACGAATACTTGAAAATGTAGTATTTATGCTATATACTATGCGTTCTACATCAAACTATGACCAACCGATGATTCCTTTTATTTGCAAAAACTGTTTACAAAAGAGAACTAATTTATCCATTTTTCATAATGACTTTTAATAAATATTATAAGTATGATTTTCAAAAAGTATTGAAAAAGAATTGGAATTAATTCATTCTCCCTTCATTTCGTAATATGTTCCTGTTTGTACTTTGTAAATATCATTCTCACTTTTTTTATAATTTTCCTCTCAACCCTCATTACATTACATCAAACTGGTGCGGTATTACTGCTTAGGTACAATTCTTTTGATCGGTACTAGGGTTAAGACGGACAACGCAATAACGTAATAGACTCATACGACGAAGACAATAAAAAACATAACGTCATTTCGTTTTTGTTTAAAAATATATCCTTCAGTACAATTTACTTTCTTAATGCTGTTTTTAAAAAGTGAGAATGATGGCTCTTTACCAACGTCTGTAACTAGGGTCTTTTTACAATAAAATTGCTGCTACATTGAAATTCTATAACTAGAAATTACCACACATGTTCTGTATATGATACATTTTTTCCATAAATTTAGTAGTTGATATATCGAGATTTGTGGCAATTGAAGTTCATAAAATTCTTAATTCCCTTTACTCATTCTTGATGTTTTGCAAATGCTTTCACTGCTACGAAATGTCAAATAATTTAATTTATAATTGCTAGTATTCCAGTCAGTAGTAAAAATACGTTAACTTTGTATCTTATGATAGTGCGAAAAATGTAGGTCGTAGGAAGGAATTTGTATCATATGTATTTCATTGCAAATTCTAATTCTGTAGCTGTGTACGATAAAATTTTTTGATGCTTTCTTTTGGTGCGTAGTGTGTTATACAATACTTGTTAAAATCAAAGAATGCACCGTAGAAAAAGAAATTTTATTCAAGGGAAATTAAGCTGATTTACAAATGAAATGCACATCATAAGGAGGTTAAGATTCCAGTTACTTATTAGCAACACGTGAAAGACACGTGAATGACCGAGCTAAAAATGTAACAAACATAGGTAATACAGAAAATATCTAGTACACCAACACATTAAAATATGGAATATTTAAGTAGAATAAGAATTTTTCAATATAATTATTTAGTGACACAGATTTTGCATTCGAAAAGAAAATTTGAAGTTAATCTTTAAGTATGAAGGTCTGAAAATTACCGATTAACGTTAAATATTCTCGTTCGTAGCAACTAATAAAAAAATGTATCGTATTTATTTGTTTTTACTTATTTAAATATCTTCACGTAGCAATAGTTGTCGACTATATAACGAAAATTTCATTGGGTGCGATCATACTTAAAGGTTAAAGTACTAAATGATTTCGAATGATTTGGTAATTTCTGAAATTCCCATGAAAATAAAAATGCTTTACTTACTGGCAAGCCTGGGGGACCTTGGATTCCAGCCTCTCCATCTGTTCCGTTCAGACCAGGTAAACCAGAAGATCCTTGGTCTCCTTTCGGTCCTGTAAATACAATTTCCTGCTAGTGAAAGTGTCATAAATTTCTCGCAAAACCTCCGTTCATCCAGGAAATCAACAGTTTCTGTTTACGCAAAAACAAGACAACTTGATTGCGCCCTAACACTCTCGCGTCTATCTTTTCAACCCCTTCGCAGGTCCATTCACTCACTCACATCCGTATCCAGGTATCGGGAACGTTCTTTTCTTTTTGCCGTTATTGGAGACGTGACGGCGAGTGCGAAGAAACCAAGAGTAGATACAGTTTTAAACAGTGTTAGTGAAATTTGTGTTGCACGCAATTTTTTGCAATGTTTCGAGCAAGTTTTGAGATTGTCTGGCAACAAGATTGTAAGGCGATAAAAACTTTCGCAACACGCTCGATCATAAGTAAGGAGGATCGAATGAGAATTTACTTAAATTGGAAGGAAGTTGCAGCCAACTTTTAAAAGGAGAAATAGAAGAAGTAAGCGTTCTGATGCTGATGTAAAAGAGTTCACGTGAACGAGTGTAAGAAGTCTTTTGCGATAGAAGAAACACCGCAGTAAGCAACCGCTGATTTCTGTAAACTGTCGAGAGGAAAGAGGAGGAGATTAACCATCGTCATCCATCTTTTGTTGAATCCCGTAGAAGAATGGCTCGTGGAAATCTACCTGGTGAGCCTGTGTCTCCCTTGGTGCCTTTTTCGCCACGGTAACCCCGTACACCGGGTTCACCTTTCGGACCCGGTAAGCCGGGTGGGCCTCTCATCAATGCCATACCGCTTTCACCCTTGAAACCCTATAATGCAACACTGTAAGGTCAGATCCAACCAGGTCCTCCATCTTTGTTTAATCATTTATCAACAATTTTCCCTTTTACGATGAAGCGTTAATACGTTCTCTTTTTCCATAGGAAGGAGGGACGAAAGGAGGGGATCGGTTTTATCGGACACTATCTTTGCTCTCGCGACCGATTTTGGCACAGTTATGTATTATTCGTAGGTTGGTAGGGTGAATGTACCAATAACTAACTGGTTAAGGTTATATGAATATAAATATAAATATAAATATAAACATAAATATTTAATATTTAATATTTAATATTTAATATTTAATATTTAATATTTAACATTTAATATTTAACATTTAATATTTAATATTTAACATTTAATATTTTTGCAAGCCTATTTAGAATTATATTTATATTTATGATATAAATAAGCTCTCGTTATAAGCTTGACTGGTTACTTATCGCTACATTTACCTTAATCGTTGCTATCTGACGATTATATTCAGAATTCATCAGATCAAACGTACGAATTGCTAATAAATACGAAGATTTACGATAGAAAAATTGAGCTGTCAATAGGTGCCAAAATCGTCCGGTCTGATTATGCTACAATAAAAACACGAAATATAAACACAATAATTAACACTTAATTGACAACACGAAGAAAGTACTACTAGTCTCGCATGCAATTAACAACAACGGGAGCATATGTTAGTAGGAACAAATTTAGTAGAAACTGGAAGCTATCAGAATTTCTCTTCTCCTTTTCTCTTGGTACGTTTTTCTAGATTATGTTTCCAATTTATGCATTGCGAAAGTATCTATTTTATTTTAATAACTATGAATAACTGTAATTAATACTATCCTTCTCGAATATTTCATCAAAATTATTTGATTAACGAGGAAGATCAATTTTGCAATTTCTATTTGTATTACAATATCACGAAGCATAGCAGAAATAATAGAAAACAAAAAAGTATATACGTATGGAAATTGATTTACCATTGTTGAAAAAGATTTTATTCTTTTTATTTCCTTAATAACAGTCAGTTTCGTGATCTGACACGAAATTTAATTTTGTATTTCGATTCATGGAGAGAAGAGAAGAAAAAAAAACAGAAATTAGGGGAAAATTAAGATATCGACTAAAATAGATCACGATATTACGCGTGACTCAGCGGTGTATAACACGTTGTAGTACACAGATGACACGCAAATAAAGCTACATACTTGTTGAGGATCTGTTTGATACTTACGCGATAATTGCAGGCTTGCATCGATCACCGGTGGATAAAGTTGCGAGAGCCTCAAAGCCAGTAGTAGTAGTAGTTATTAGTTATTAATGATTTGAACCGACACACAGGGGAGAAGTAATGTGGTGTTACTTGCTACATTAAACACAAATTAGTTATCAAGCTACGTACACTACGCCAAATACTACTGACTAAAGTAAGCGGTCAGTTACACTCTCTCACTCTTTGTTCGCCTTAATTCCCCTTTCCCCGCTTTATATCTTACTATATTGTTCGCTCTCTCACTCTGATAAGTAATAAGGAACACGACTACGGCTGTTAAAGCTCGGGTAAACACGGTTAGTTCAATTACTTCGACTTTGAAACGCAGGAAGTAGTCAGAAATGTCGCTCATGCCGCAGTAAATTTACTAAACGTTCACTTTGTATTTTGATTTACGCTGCTAAAACGTAACGTTCAACGGGTATAAGGATTATCATAGCAAGAATTCGACTAGGCGAAGATCATTCGAGGATTCGAACAAACGTGCTCGTAAAAAGAATCACTCCGCCATTGAATCGTCGAGAAACTTGCAAACTTTCGAAAGTCTCTTTGCGAAAACTTGAGATTACTGTGTATGCCGAATTTCGGCAAAACTTCAGAAGTTCCCCGCAGTAACCAATTTTAATAAAATCATTGAATATTCCAAGAAATGCATACTTTGAACATCTTTTTCCTTTGAAAAAAATGTCGCTGACATGTAGTTTTCAGGATAATTACGAAAAACTTTTGCTACCACTACATTGAATTCTATATACGTGAGCCCGTCTGTGAGACGAATTCAAGCATAGTAGCGCGACCGCGCGGCTACTGTGGCTCGCATCAATCAGCCCTCAGTTTACGTGCACTCTTTTTGACAAAAATTATATCAATATTGAATTGAATTTTAGGCAATTATACAGTATTCATTTCCCCCCCCCCAAAAAAACTAGCTCCACCTATACTGATATCTATTATCCGAATGAAACTCATTTTTATATGTATGAGAAAAGTTATGAATCTGCCACGATTAAGTCAAAACTTTTGTGACGGAGCGTACTCATGTGAAATCGGGGAAGGCGATGGCCGGCACGAAGCTGCGCGGCTATGCTTGTGTTGTTCCACAAACGTGCTCACCTATAAAGAATTTACTGTAATGGTAACAAAAGTTTTTCGTGATTATTTCGGAAGCTAAATGTCAGCGACATATTTTTCAAAGAAAAAAGATGTTCAAAATATGTAATTCTTGTAGTATTTAATGGTTTTATTAAAATCGGTTACTGCAGCGATCTGCTGAAGTTATACCTGAATTCCTTGTTACTCGGGTAATTTGGTTAATTCCAGCGATGTTAAAATTCGCAAGCACGATTATGAATCTCGATTCTGCTTGGTTCGGTAGATTACTCATTCCTCAACTGAACGTACATTATCGATCGCGATGAGTGATGCGAGTAATGAGCTGGGCGACGGCAGTGTCGACAACGATTCCTTTGGGGGTTCTTGCCACTGAATGCTTTCGAGATCCAATTGCTCCGTATATTTGCTAATATACTTACGGTCAGATCGTAAAGCGGAAAACTATTAGATCGGTTGAACGATAGCGAGCCGAGTCAATTTAGAGCCGTGGTTTGGAACGCAGGTGCGCAAGAACCGTCAGAAGAGAAGCGTTCCTCTCCTCTTCTTCGGACAGAGCTAACTTTATTCGCGCGCCTATCATCGTGTAACATAAAGCTACCGTTCCGTGTCCCGGAAATTAGATGCATCGGATGAAACAACAGTTATCGATACACGTACGTGTTATTTTGCTGCCACCAACGTCTTTCTATCGGTAATCGAGAAACGGTCATTTTCATAGTGTATCTGTTCCATCTACGTGTCGATCTAGAAACGACGGTAGTAGGATTACAGAAAATATTCTGTTACTTTCAAGACGAGATACGATCTTCGGGTAAAGAAGTTACAATTTTTGTCTTGTTAACACAATTCCAGGTAACCCCTGCACCGAACAAGGAAATGCGAGACGTTGTTTCGCTCGTTCCGCGAGACGTCGCTGTTCGTGCGTTGTTCAGCGACACTATCGGGGATCTTGACGGTTTATAGATCGTATCTGATCTGAACACAGCAAGAACGTTTTTCATCCATCATCGACTAAACGACAATGCAATTTAACGGCTACTTGTTCTAGTACACTACAATGAAAAGAAGCGGGTGACTGTTCGCAGGTGCCATGCGTGCTGCATGCCGGCATGCTTACGTGATAAAATCATGCATGTGTTTCTCGTGATTTCTACGTAGGCGTCTCGAAGCATGAACAACAGTGTGGTTATTAACGGAGTAGAGTTAAGGTATCGGAGCTCGACCTTGATCTTTAAACAGTTTACTTCGATAGTACTGCATAATACTCAGGGATACCGCAAGAATGGCTTTACTTTCTTCCAAACACGATACAGCGTTACTCGACGGAATAGTTAACACTAAATCTACCAGACGGATAAAATTTACCCATTTCCGATGTATCTTTCTTGCAATTATCAAAAAGATAACAGATGTTTCTCTGAGAAATTATTAAAGAAATTGATTTAGCAATACGCAAACTGAATTGAAAATCAATTAAAGTCTCAACATTCTTTAAATTCCTATAGACAAACTTAAGAAAGTCAATTTAACTGCTCGGTAGTTTTAGTGTTAACGAGAACAGAATAAACTCAGTAGTAAGCAACGTGATTCCAAGTGATTAAGGAAACCGTCTTGTGAAGTACCGATGAGAAAAAATAAGAATCATCGTGTTGTTGTCGATGGGACGAGTAAAAGTGAACTAGGATCGAAGGTTTGCCAAAGGTCGATCACGAAGCAGAAACTTAACGACGCCGATGATTATTCCGTTCAAGAAGGTGAAATGTTAAATGTCCAGCCAGATACGCATGCGTTTTACATTCCAAGAAGCTGTAAACCATTTCCATCACGTATTACATATAACAGAGGAGTTTAAAACTTGGAGAGGATCTCTGGAGGCGGTTCTCAGACATGGACCGAAGGAGGGAAAGAAGATGCACAAGATACAATAATAAGTTAGGGGAAATGTTTTCTTTTCGAATTTCGGAGGAAAGTTGGAAGATTTTTATGGCAGTTATTAGGATGAAGTGGTTTATACGGTTGATTTGGTCAGTGGTCGTTTGCCGGAGGACCTCGCTGAAGCTTACCCTCTTCCCTTGCTTTCCCCGGGCACCTTTGTCTCCCGGCAGACCGGGTGGTCCCGTCGGGCCCAGCTCCCCCTTCTCGCCCTGGGGCCCTGCGGTGTGTACATCACGTGCATAAAATAAAAACCATGATATTCGTTCGCTCGCACACGCAATCTCGCTCTCGCACTCACGTGAAATCAAACGCATGCCAAGAATGAAATTATTATTCCCAGAAATCCGTTTTTACATGGAGATCTCGTTTCATTCTTCTTAACGTGTACAACATTGTTTCAATTAATTTTATTTCGATACAGTGGAATGTATCATGTATATGGGTACATAATTTTGTACTACGTGTAATAAAACGCATGCCAAGAATGAAATTATTGTTTCCAGAATTCCGTTTTTATACGGAGATCTCGTTTCATTCTTCTTAAAGTGTACAACATTGTTTCAATTGATTTTATTTCGATATATTGGAACGTATTATGTAATTCTGTATCTATGTAACGTGAAAGAGAATGATAATTGAATGAGTAAGAAATGGTAGTGGTTTATTATTATTTGTGAATTTTTCAGAATAAAAGCTTTTGTGAAATCTTCTTTGATTAATTGAATACTAATATTACAATATTATTGGTGATATTAATTATTATTAACTATTTATATTAGGAATTGTAATATTAGCATTTAATTAACAATATTAGTAGTAATATTAGTTACTATTAATCATTAATATTAGTAATTGTAACATTAATAAAGGTGGAATGAAAAAGGAAGTGTTTAAATAATAAAATATTTTTTTTAAATGAATGAAATAGTATAAATTTTTCTATTATACATAAGATATAGATTTTGATTTTATATTTTTGTCTTCGTCATTATGTAAAAATCAAATTGTACTTTAATTTTTGTATACTGCATATATTAGTAGGTAGTTTGTAGTACTGCCAACATTATATTTTCATAAAACTTTCGATTTTATGTTACAAATCGACACTAAAAGGTAATTATTGACGCAAATTTTTTCATTGAACAACATTAAATCTCCACCCTGTGGAATAGAGTTTCATGCTTCTTCTAGTAACAGTAAACTTCACAAGCATGGCCATGAATCACCTTTAGCCTGTCGTTTGAGACAATTAACTCTGAACGAAAAATGTGTTTTTCATCTTAACTACCGTATTTATAAGGTGCTAGCATCCAGGACAGACAGTAATTTCTTTGTGTACTCAAGAGAATTACCCTCTACAATATGTCAGTGTTATGATGTAGCTGTGCCTTCCCCACGAAGGACGATTCCTTTTTCTTTACGCTCACCTGTCAGTACTATCCCATTCCTTCCAAGTTACATTCTTTATTGTCTTCTCGTGTTCTTAAATGAGTTGTCATCATTTTATACGTACTCATGGTACTTAATTCTTTCAATTTAATGATTTTGCTTTCTCCTTTTATTCTCTTTAAGCGAATCCTTTAGTTTAATGTTATAATTAATTTTATATGAATTTTTATTCGCATATAATATATTTGTTTTGCGTATTGTAATACTAATTCCGAAGACGAATTGTACTATGCTGCATACTGTACTATCAATCTATAGTGAATATTTCAAAATTTTCAAAACTCGTTCAGTGTATTTCTTTTAAATTTGTAAGAAAAAGGTTGTAGTTTATAATGGCATTCTATTTTAATTTTCATTTTATTTAACCGAAAATTTATGTCTATTAGAATAAATAAATGCAGACATCGTTCGCATAACTGACATTAATATTCTAAATGAAATGGGGATTTTTTGCTGTTTCTTTTTATAATACAACATTTTAATTGCAGTTCATCAATGTGATATACGATTTTTCATTATGTACAGCGTGTTTGATTGGTAACGAAACTTTATTTATTCAGTAATCCAATTACGTTCGTAATTTAATTTTGATTTTTTTATATACATTCTTTATACAATTTACTTTTTCAACTACACATTTATAGTTATTGTATGTGTTGTTGTATATATTAGTCAGGAATCTCAAAAAGAGCAGAGAAGTAATTTTATTTTTAAAATGTTTATCTATTATGAATTTATTTAAAAAATTATTCTCCATACTTCTATCAATTATAAATGATATATTATTTGGTTATGAATTTATTTGAAAAATCTTGCTCCATATCTCTATGAATCATAAATGTTACATTATTTAGAGAATCAAAAAGGCGTGCCTTCCGGCTCTTTTTCTGAAATTAGATCATCTGCAAGCGCTGGCCAATAAGGGAAAACCAAATGTATCAGGGAAGCAGAGGTAGAAGCAGAAACAAAGGCAGACTGAGAAATCTTACTTGTGCACCGAAGATCCATTCTTTCGATAACAATTGAAGCTTTCAATAAGAGGTTTGTTGTTAGATTCTTTCATTCCATGCTTAGGCTCAAGAAGCAATATTGTGATTGATTACGAACACAGTAGATATTTTGCAAGGAAATATATGAGGCTCAAAAATTAAAATACAATTTATATAATTTAATGTGAGTAATTTAATTATGTAATGGTTATTCATACATGACGGTCTAAGAATTTTGTTTTAAATAAAATTATAATTTAAATGATGTTATTTTACACGTCACACCGTATATTTTTACACCGTGTCTATAATAGAATGCACTATGCACTACATTAGTCAATAATATATCCTGAATTTAAAATGGTTGTCTAAGTTTAATAATTTTCTCTCAATTAACTTTTCCACTTATCCTATAATGATTATCAAATTAATTTAGCGATGTATGTTTTTACCAGATTATATTAAGTAATTTAATAGATTTGATTAAATCACCCCTTGGTGAAAGTAGATATATACAAAGAATAATAAAAATTGTATTAAAAAGTATATGTTTTTCATATTTCTATCGTAAATTTCAATTGCACTAAATTGGAAAATGGCTTGTAGTGAAAAGCTCTACGAATATGTGGAGTTCGAACTTGGGCATACAGTTTGAGCGCTCGATGATTGAGCCTGCTTGAGTCGAGGCAGACGAGAGAAAGCTGCACTCGATGCTCGAGCCCGCTCGAGCCGAAACAAGCAAGATACGGCCTAAGCGCTCGAAAGTTCGAACATATTCGAACATCTGCAAACAAGGTATAGCTCAAACGCATTCCCATCATAAATTCAGTTTTTCATGAATGCTGTTTCTTTGTCATATTGTGCTAGTTGACCCCTTGCCATACAACATCGAGTCAGACTCGTGTGGAAGATTTCGAATGGAAGTTAACACGTTCACTGTCACGATGGTCACCGATGACCGAAGTATCCAAGTTATTTGAAAATCATTACAATAAGAAAATTGATGTCGAATAAAAATATTTAGTAACATAAGACGATAGTGTGACATTGGCATTGTGATACCAAGTCTGTAATAATTGTTTTTAGTACCATTTGTCATTGTTAAGAAAGAATGAGTATTAACATTAGAACTACTGTATCCGTCATAATGGCGGGTTTTACTTTTTTTATTTTGCAATTATTCATATTTTAAAGGTATACGATATCTGACATGATTTTAAAAATAAATAGTTTCACTTATATACTACAACGAATATTTGAGGAAATCGAGAAACATATATTGCTACAATTTTTATAGGGATTACTTGTCAACTCCAACAAACGCTCAGTAGTTCTAGTGTTAAGTTTATGAATAATCAAAACTGAGAAGTAGTGACTTGATTAACAAAAGTACCATATTCGTACCATAACGAGTCAAATGACTGATTACGAAATAAAGGTAAACAAATTAGATGATAAATTTGTCTCAGTGGAAAGGGAAACAAAAGAGAACAAAAAAATTGAAAAATTGATTAACATCAAAACTACTGTACCAGTAAAAATGATTGGTTAGTTCTTTTTGTTTTGCAGTTATTAATATTTTCAAAGCATTTGAAACTGAAAATAATCTATTACAATTTTTGTAGGTATTACATATCAATCGTATTAAATGATCGGTGTTAATTCTAGTGTTAATACCATCATAGCAGCGGTGTTACTATGTGTAACACTGTTGATTACTGTTGTTATGATGATATTAATATACATTTGATGTATGGTATACTCTATTGTCGATTTTGGCTATATACAGTCTAATGTAATTTTATATGTATAGGTTATAGGCTAATATAGTTTTAGATATGTAGAAATGATATGAATAAAATTAGTTAATAATATAATTATATTATTCGTTTTAATAAATTTAATTTTCGTGACAGTCAACATGTTAAAAGAATTTAATGTCTCTCAATTATTTTGGTTGCAAAGTAGATACTGTGTATTAGATCAATTAGGGATTGTTCTTCAATATTTAGTCAATTATTAATGACAAAGTTTCCTAGCAAGCGCAGTTGCGAGAGAAATTATAGAACAAGAGGTTACTCCCTTTCCTGTACGTCATTGTCCCAGCCAAAAATAAAAAATACAACCGACTCATCTTATGATTAGTAATTTCTGCGAAAAGTAGTAAATGCTTAATATTTAGTGCTTCCATAATTAAGGGGTTCAGTGCAAAAAATGGCTATATTACAATCGTAATGTTCTGACAATGAGATATCAAGGTTTTTACAAAAAGTTTTGTTTCAATAGAAATAGCATAATTAAAATTGGCATTTTTTATTTAATTTGATTAAGGGATCCAATTAAGAGATTTAATTATACAATTAGAATCTTAATTATAGGGAGCCAGCTAATTCTAAAATTGGAATTTAAATTGTGGAGAGTCACATAATTATAAAAATTAGAATCTATATTATAAAAATCAGTTTAAAGGAGTTATCATCGTGATGAAATAAATCCTATTGTTTTATATAGAAATATTATAGTTACATCATTCAATCTTGAATGAATTATTTTTTATTACGTTACATCACTTGCTACTATAATAATATTTGTAATTTTAAAACGAATTAAACATTTTATCAAAATGTAATCACTTTCCTTAAAATTCTAGCTACAAAATAAGCTCAGTTTTAGGGTGGAGTTTTGAAAAAGTAATGTCGTAATGAAGTGTTCAAGATCTCAGTGTGCACCATTTGAGGTGAACGAGTTGTACGCCTTGCCATTATGGTCGGCTGTCCGT